TGTGTGGGAGAGAGAGTGTTTGTGTGTGTGTGTGTGTGTGTGTGTGTGTGTGTGTGTGTGTGTGTGAGATCTTACCTCTCCTTCCCTCCATGCTCGGCTGTTCTGTAGATATTTACTCTGAGTTTGTCTCTTCTTCTGACCGCCGTCAGCAAACTTGCACAGCAGCGGTTCAGACGGACCTACAGACAGACGCGAGGGACAGAGACAGAAACTACAGCAAACACACGGACGGACAGACAGAGAGACACCCATCACTCAGTCTCTACAGCTGTCCATTTCACTGCTAAAACTACATACAGAAAAGACAGACAGACAAACAGATAGATCGATAGACAGATACACAAAATCCTCCTTGTGTGATGTTTATGAACTTCCTTCCACTTTCTCAGATTTTTCCCAGAAAAACCTTAAATAAAACACATGAGCTGATCTAGGCAACGCTTCCTGTTGAATAATCATTACTTCCTGTCTAGCCTGAGCTCAGTCCTGATCAAAACCGCATTCAGAAACAATACTGTTAGTCTCAATCCAACAAATCACACTAAACGCTGAAGAGAGAAAACACGCGTCTCGAAAGTCTGCAATCAAAATTCTCCACATTTTTACAGCTCTTACTGGATGACAGCTAGCGACTCATTTGGGTCTCATTTTTATTCCTCCTAACAAAGCTTATGAGAAGCATCTGTTTGTGTTTGTCAGTACTTTGCACTGAGTTGAGCTGTAGTGAATTGAGAGCGGTCACAGCGGTACCTGGGATTCCTGCTGGAGTCTTGAGATATTTTCCATTGAAATGTTGTATAACAACTTCACATTTCTCTGTGGACTCCATCCTGAAGAACAACACACACACACGACTGGAATAAAACACGTACAAACACAAGGAAAACCCCACCTTGTGTTGTGTTTCAAAGGTTTTCAAAGATTTACAGTAGAGCTTTCATTAGCTGGCTTGTGTGATTTTCTGCTCATCTTTTTTAAACAAGAATTTGCACATGAATTCCATTGTATACAACTAAAATAGTTTACAACTAATTTAAATAAATAAATAAATGTGTATGTTTCAGACTTTGAAATATGAAGGTTTATTAGCACAATGATTACACTGTGAGGAAACAAAATAAATAATGCTTAAAATAATAACAATAATAATAATCATATAAAAAACATTTTTTAATCAGTATATGTTTTAGACTATACAATGTGGTTTATTAGCATGAACATAAATATTCACATTCGGTATTATTATATAAAAAATCGAATTCAAAACAAAAATAATTAACTAAATATAATAAACTATAAAAAATAAATATAATAAACTATAAAACATTTACATTTACATTTATGCATTTAGCAGACGCTTTTATACAAAGCGACTTACAGTGCATTCAGGCTATACATTTTTTTACCGTATGTAAAATAATAATAATAATACAATTTTAAATAAATATACATTAACATTGGGAATTATTATATAAAAATACTAATTCAAAACAAAATAAATACAATTATAATAAACTATAATAATAATAATAATAATAATGCAAATTATAAATTAAAAATTAGCATAGAGATGTAATAGTAACACTTAGGAAACTAAATAAATAATACTTATTTAAAATAATATAAAGAATAATAGTGTAATAAAAATACAAATATACTTAAAATTGTTATTCAAAATTGTACATATGTTTAAGACTTTTTTAACATACCGGTACTTTATTAAAATTAATATAAATAAATATAAATTCACACTGGTTGTTGTTATATATTCTTTATAAAATCCAGAAAATTACCCAATGTCTGCACAAAAACATCAGTGTGTCCTGAGACTCTGAATATTAATTGTTCATCAGCATCAGTATTAGTCATAAGCTGAAGCTGTTGAAATGAAGAGGTTGTTGTTGAACCTCATTAGCACAGAATAAGTCCACATCCTCAGACCACCACACACACACACACACACACACACACACCTGGCGAAGCCGACACCTCTGCTCATGCCGCTGGCGTCCCGTAATATCCGCGTGGAGATCACATGACCGAAGGGTCTAAGCAGCGCCTCCAGCTCCTGTTCATCCACAGAGACGGCCAGATTAGACAGGTACAGGTTAGTGGGGTCCTGCTCCTGCTGCTACAAACACACACACACACACACACACACACACACACAGACAGATCATTCAGGTTACTGAAACACTTCTATCTATGATGAAACTGTCAGTTTGAAAGAGGAAACTTCATCAAACCAGTGTTATTTTGGTATCACTGATGTACTATAATAGTGTTTGTTAATACTTTAAATTAGTTTATATCTTTATATTTTGGGTTTTCACTTTAACTTTAAAAGTAATTTTTTTTAATTTATTTTTTTAATATTTTTGTTTAATTTTTTTTTATGTCTTTTTAATCAATTTTTATTTTATTTATTTGTAGCTATTTCAGTACTTCCAGTGAAACCAAATTAAAATGAGAAATGTTATCTTGGCAATTTTCTATTTTATTTTTATTGATTATTTTTATTTAAAGTAATGTTTTTTATGGTTTTAACATGTTTTTAATATACTGTATATACACTTGTATTTTATTTCAAGTAACTAAAATGTATTTTATGGTTTTAAAAGAATAACAAACTATAATAATTGTAATAGTTTTATAAGAATTTTTACATTTATTAGACTTTAAAAAATAACAACTTCTAATGTGAACAGCAATCTTCACATAAACCCATTATAATAAATGTCATATTTACCTGTGCCCTTCAGCAAGTAGGAATTATACAGAAATTGAATAAAGTTATCAAACACTAAATTCTAATTTAAATAAAGATGAATCCTAAAAGCTACAAAAGTGATTGATTTCCTCTTTTTTCTTTTGTTGTTTGATGAACAGACATCACAGCAGCTGTTTTGAGGTTATTTCGGCTGCTTTAAGAGCTGATGCTGCTGAACATGACGCGGATCTGACACGCATCGTAGTTTCTCATAACTCTTTACCTTTTCTGACCCACTTCAGCTCTTAAAGTCTCTGTAATGAGCTGAGGAGTTGAATCGGGTGTGTTAGATGAGGGAGACAGTGCTGCTGCTCCAGGACAGTTTGGAAAACCACTGCATTTCAGAGACATGTTCTTAAATCTGAATCATATATAACAAATATTTACAAACATGCACAGTTTTAAGGCAGCTTTTAATCGCCTTTTTGGTAACTTCATGACTTAACTGACGACATAACTATGACATTGCATGCATCTCATTGACAGCATCTCATCTGACCACAGTTCATTATACAGAAATTGAATAAAGTTATCAAACACTAAATTCTAATTTAAATAAAGATGAATCCTAAAAGCTACAAAAGTGATTGATTTCCTCTTTTTTCTTTTGTTGTTTGATGAACAGACATCACAGCAGCTGTTTTGAGGTTATTTCGGCTGCTTTAAGAGCTGATGCTGCTGAACATGACGCGGATCTGACACGCATCGTAGTTTCTCATAACTCTTTACCTTTTCTGACCCACTTCAGCTCTTAAAGTCTCTGTAATGAGCTGAGGAGTTGAATCGGGTGTGTTAGATGAGGGAGACAGTGCTGCTGCTCCAGGACAGTTTGGAAAACCACTGCATTTCAGAGACATGTTCTTAAATCTGAATCATATATAACAAATATTTACAAACATGCACAGTTTTAAGGCAGCTTTTAATCGCCTTTTTGGTAACTTCATGACTTAACTGACGACATAACTATGACATTGCATGCATCTCATTGACAGCATCTCATCTGACCACAGTTCACTGTTGTTCTACTGAAGCTCCTCGTCACCTGTAGCTTTTAAGTTGGAGCGCACATATGAAGGTCTCCCGTTTGATGTGGTCATAAAGAGGTTCTGCGTCTAAATAAATGCAATTCTTGTCAAGAAAAAAGAGACAGAAGCAGCAGTTTTGGGTTGAGTGAAATATTTTTAACATGTTATACTGAAAAAATTAATTGAATGCTATGACATTGCATGCATCTCATTGACAGCATCTCATCTGACCACAGTTCACTGTTGTTCTACTGAAGCTCCTCGTCACCTGTAGCTTTTAAGTTGGAGCGCACATATGAAGGTCTCCCGTTTGATGTGGTCATAAAGAGGTTCTGCGTCTAAATAAATGCAATTCTTGTCAAGAGACAGAAGCAGCAGTTGTGAGTGGAGTGGCCAAACCTAGCTCCACCCCAACGTCAATTGAGTTAAATATTTTTAACGCGTTAAACTGAAAAAAATAATTGCATGCCTTAATGCAGTGGTTCCCAAACTTTTTCTGCCGGGCCCCCCTTTTGTAGAGAAAAATATTTTCATAAATGTATATATATATATATATATATATATATATATACACACATGAAATTTAAATCATATTTCTTAAATTATGCATATCATTTAACCATTATAATACATGAATAATTACATATATAATATTAAATAATATATAATTATAATTAAAACATAAATTAAAATGAAAATACCTTTAAATTATATTAAATTATATATTATTTTTAAAGAAATATAATTCAAATACTGCCCTACTGCATCAGTCACATGTGTATTATTGTCATTTTAATCTATGAAATCACACACACACACACACACACACACAGCTTATTGTATGCATGTATATGTACATGTGTGTGTGTGTATCTCCGTCTGTGCCTGGCATGTATGTGTTCAATGTGATCTGTGTGTTGGAAGGATGGTGTTACTGGCACAGGAAACAGACGTCTCTGGCAGTGTGTGTGTGTGTGTGTGTTTCATCCTGTTGTGTAAACAGACATAAACACACACTTGGTCTCCACACATATTGGCTTTCAGACGCTCTGATGATTGTCTTTGTGTATGTCTGTTGTTGAACATGACATCAATAATGAGTCTGAGCATGTGACCAGCGACTGAAATCTATTCTAATCAAGAAGTAAATGTGAGTTTAAACGTACAATCACATCGCTCCTCATTTCATTTCCTCTCATTCTCTCTCTATTAAACTCTCCTTGTTCTTCTCATGAAGAGACGCTCCTGTAAACACCTTATACATTCTTCTACAAACTTCTACATCTTTCACTGTCTCAGAATAGTGTCTCAGTTTCCCAGAAGCCCCTGCTGCTGTAATTACACTAATTGGAGTCAGACTGCAACAGTTAATTGGAGAGGAATGCAGATGAAGCATAAGACACATTTATCCTTAACACTATGTTAATGTGCTCTAGGTGTGTTTTTACGGTCTAGCAGAGTCTTTACTTTACTACTGAGATTCACTAATTACTACAAATGCCTTACAATCAATGCAAAATACTCAAGTGTAGTTATGGTTTAGTACTTCATGCTACATGCTGATTGTTTACAGTGTGTTACAGTGATTCACACAAAGCATCATGGGAATAAATTCAAATCTCTATTCCTATGGAAAACAGCACAGCTACAGGCCTAACGAACACCGGATCATCCTGCCATTCCAGGTGAGGGAGAAAATTTACATTTGATTAGCATCTCATTATCATATGATTAGTGAACCCACTGAATCAAACCTGAAATAGAAAAACTGCAGAAAAAGCCAATATGAAAGATAAAGATAAAAAAAAAAGATAAAACAGAACTTCGGATCTATAACAGACTTCATAGGCCCTAGAAAATGAATAACTTTGACTACCTCTGAAAAAAAAAATAATTATTTTCCACTGATGTCATCTGGCTCTGCAACAGATTTTAAGTTTTGAAGGGCAAACAGAGGGAGTTGTGGGTACCAGAAGAGACAGATGCATTGTGGGACGGTTCCCCTGCCTCGCTGGTCTAATTACAGCTCATGCACAGTATGAGGCCTAATACGAGATGCACAAATAGACTCTGACTCTCAGAATTATCAGACTGTTTACATGCACCGGATCAGTCCCAATCTGACTGCAGATTCTGGATAAAGCATCAGTTTACATGAGCGTCACATACATCACAAACTAAAGCTCATGCACGTGAAGAGACAGCGTGAGAACCAGATCTCATCACCTCTGAATCTCGTTTAGAGTCACGTCACCTGATTCTGTGTGTGTGTCAGAGAATCTGTTAGACCAACTAATTAACACCCGACTCGCCTGTCAAACACTAACGAAAGACAGAGAGAGAGAAGAAGTGCAGTTTTTATTACACTCACAAAGGAGGAAAGACAGGAGGCACTTCACATGAATATTGAAAAACCATGACTTAAGCTTTAGAGGACTAATCTAATGGTTTTCACTGTGGAAACTAGTAGAAAAACATACACTAGTTCTCAGAACAACATCATGATAAAATACAGATAAACATAAAAGCAAAAAATAAAACCATATGAAATTTGCTACATTAAAGAAGCATAAACTGAAATAAAATTAAATATAAAAACGTCCTTATTTCTTTTTCATCTAGTTGCCAAGGCAACATTTCTCATTTTAATTTAGTTTAACAATGTACAAAAAAAAAAAAAAAAAAAAAAAAAAAGCAAAAAAAAAAAAAAAAAAAAAAAAAAAAAAAAAAAAAGGAAAAAAAAAAAAACAAAAATAAAAAAAAAAAAACAAAAATTAAATTTTTTTTTTATTTTG